GGCCTTTAGGCCAAGTTCAACAATAGGAACACAGTAGTGGCAAGTGCCAATGCCCAGGGGAGATGACAACAGGAACAGGCCCAATTCATTGGTTTGACATTAGAAAACAAACCCTGCTTTCTTGGAATGAGCCAAAAACATCACGTACAAAGACAGAAAATGAGAGAGCAGACAGCTGCTGCTACTGCAGAGAGCCTGGACATTTGCGAAAGAACTGCAGTGAACTGGGCCCTTCTTCACCGAGGCTTCGCCCTCAATGGAAGCAAGACTGCCCCCCCGTCCGAAGTGGGGAGAGGCTACCTACTCCTGTGTTGGCTTCCCTAGAGAACTGAAGGTGCCCGAGGTCTCTCAAAGGCCCTCTCAGCAAAGTAGACATCACCCTGAACAAGTCTCAAGTACTTCTTGACGTGGCAGGTAAATATATTAGTTTTTCTTTTCATACTGGGCTTATACTTCCATCCCTTTCTAATAAGACTGTATTGTGATCAGTGTTGATGTTATCCCTCAGTTCAAATGGTTTACAGTGCCTCTCACCTGCACATTTGGGGAACTAATTTCACTCAGCCTTTCATATTTTTGCCAGACGTTTTGCCCTGTTATTAGGAAGAGATTTTTTGTTTTTGTTTTTGTGCCTCTTTAAGGTCAGCTCTTTATCTGGCACCAAAATATTCCTCCCCTTTAGGGGGGGCTTTAGTATCAGGCCCAAAGCTGCTAAGTTTGGTTAAAAGACATTCTTCCTAGGTTTGGATTTCCCAAGTCACTCCAGAGTGATAAGGGACCTTCTTTTGTCTCTAGGGTGACATAAGAAGTTTCACAAGCCTTACGAATAGCTTTTTATCTTTATACCTCTTGGCATACTCAGGCATCAGGAAAGGAAGAAGAGGCCAATTTATATATTAAGACCACCATGGCAAAACTATGCCAAGAAAGCTCAGACTCTTGGCTAAAACTGTTATCTATTGCTTTACTAAGGATTGGAATTGCTCCCCAAGCCTCTCTCTCCAGCTGATCCCTTAGGAAATGCTTTACGGTAGGCCATTTCTGGCTTCAGATCTAGTCTAACATACAGGAAATGGTTAAATATGTCACCTATCTAGGTCAAGTACAGAATATGCCAATAAAGTCCTTTTAGCAACAGACTCTGAAACTCATATCCCCTAAAATTCAACCCAGGGATCACGCGTTAAAGTTTGGAAAAAGAACCTTTAGAGGACTAAATGGAAGGGCCCCTACCAAGTTCTTTTAAGCACATCCACAGTCGTCAAGTAACAGGGACATTCTTCTCGGGTTCTTTTATCAAGAATTGAACTTGTTCCTTTTGAGTCTGTGCAGGATGGATGACAAAGAGGCAGAGACCTGTGATCAGTATTCCTGTGAGCCTCTGGAAGACTTACAAATACTTTTTGGGAAAAATAATGAGGCTGATTTGGAATAAATTAGATAGGTTCATTTGGCCTAAATATATACTCTCATGGCTACACTATGTCTGTTAAAGTCAAAGTCAGGCTATGTTTTTTTCTTTCCTGACTCTTGTATCATTTTCCAGTGAGGGAACTACTTTCCTTAACTGGGCCCAGCAGTAGACCAAAAGCATTAACAAGGATGCAGCCTGGATTTGTGGACAACTGCCCACTTCTAGTGTATCTGGGCTACCATGGTGGTATCACCTTTAGAGGGAAGTGATTAAATTTCAAAATTTTACAGAACAGCTATAAAGTGGAAGAACAATTTTAGAGCTTGCACAAAACTAGGACTAAAGTCTCTCAATAGCCAATAAATGACTCTTCATCAAAACGGCCATGGGAAATTTTTTTTCACTAGCTGCAATTAATATTCTTTGATGACAGCCTGGCATCCTTGTTATCTGGAACGAAGTCTTCATTTAACAACAATGAATTATATAACAGACAAGAATTCCAATGCCCAGTATCATAGCCTGAAAAATGAAGATTACAGCTGTGCACCACCACACCCAGCATAAACACCATTTTTAAAGGAATAATAATCTTAATACACTCAAAACATCAACAGTACTTGGACATGGTAGACTTCTTCACACTATAATGAGGACATTTCTCTAATAGTCTTACATTTTTTTTCTTCACACACATTTACCTCGGACTTATGAATCTCCTAGATCTCCAGTCATCCATACAAAAGAGAATACAATTAGATCAATAACCATTATCGTCTCTATTTTATACGCTGAACAAGTTCCAGCCAGAAAGACTTCAGTTCTCCCCTTTCCCACACACTCTGCTTCTGGGATGCCAAGATGGACTCCACCAGAGGCAGAGCGAGTAGAGATCTCTCTCGTAAAGGCGCACTGAAGGACAGTAGACAATGCTGTTACCCTAGTAGAAGAGAGCCTGTTCAGGAGCCTCAAATCCTTTGGAAACAATTGATTTTGGTTTTATTTTCCTTTAGACTTTCCGTTTACAACATGTGCAGGCGATGCGGCAGGAATGGGTAAAAGCTGCTCCAAGGGCCCCGGGGTTGCCCCAGCACATGGGCATCACCTCCAAGGCCGGGTACATGGCTGCTGCTCAACAGCACTACCGGGGCAGTGGTGGTTCAGTCCCAACTGTACATCTCGTGCTGAGAGCAACCTTGTGAAACAGGAGAGCTGCCTGGTGACAGAGGGTCACAGACCATTTATGGAGGTGGAATACTGACTCCCCAGCACATCAGCAACCCTGGCTGTGCCGGGGCTCATGGGAGTGCAGTGGAAGAGGGCATCTCAGTTAGCAGATGCATGTTCCCTAGAGCGTGACAATTTCAGTGCTGACAGTAGGGGGGTCTTTCTGATCCTCCTGGATGAAGGCATTATTTATTCTTAATCCTACGTGCATGGTTCTCAACGACTGTATTAGTCAGCTTTCTGTTGCCATGGTAAAGACCCTGAGGAAATCAATTTAAGAAAGGAAGGTTTGTTTTGGTTCAAGGCTTCAGTCCATGGCTGGTTGGCCCCAATGCCATTTGGGCCTATGATAAATTCCATGGTGGTGGAAACCCAAGGCAGAGGGAAAGCTGCTCACCTCATGGCATCCCGGAAGCAAAGAGGAAGAGTGTGAGGAAGGAGCACAACAAGGTCTATCCTTCCAGGACACATCCCCAGTAAGCTACTTCCTCCAACTTGGCCCACTTCAAGTTTCTACCCACCAGTGCCACCAGCTAGGGATAAAAGGGAGATATTCCACGTGCAAGTTTTAACCAAGACCAACTCATTTAACCACTCATTAAACCATGCAGGGAATGTAAATTGATTTTTAAAAGGAGCTTATGAATCTGTCATTATAACAAAAACTCTTTAAAAGCAAGAAAAGGTTCACTTACAAGTTGGGCCATCTGGGAGCATGGCTGGTAAACAGTTCCTACAAAGCTTTTCCTAAAAAAATAAATACGACAGAATCATAGAACTGATGACATGCTAGACATCAGAGCCACCCGCATTGATTCAGCTGCTTTAAAACAAGATTTCCTTACTCTTTTTTGAGTTTTACTCTTATAGTCAGAAGTACTTGCTCTGGATTCCCATTTCTGTTGTCTGATTTTAAAAGAGCCCAAAACTACAGGCCCAAACACTGGGTCTCTAACCCAGACACAATACTTACTCTCAATGTGACCGAGGCACTTAGCGTCCTGAAGTGAAGTTTCTTCACTGTCCAAATGGAAGGATACCATCCATTTTGTAAGGGCTTTAATGGAAAACAGATTCTACCTGTTTAGCCCTGCAGTTATTTGTCAAAGCTACTCATCAGCCAAGTTCTAGCCAATAACCCAGCAGAAGCCAATAGGGGGTCAACACCTCAGTGCTCCAATCTTAGAACTGAAATCCTGGAAGCGCCACCCAATGTCCACATTATGCAAACTGCCCCATCTAGCCAGACACATATTAAGCAAATCAAGGGATACGACTGCTTTTAGTAGCTAATGTAACAATATGAATGTCAGTAAATCAAAGTTTTAATCAGGCCAACATTAGAAATATTCTTACTCATAGGACATTTGCAGATTTAGATTTATTCCTCAGCCCATACTAAATGTTGGGAAACCAAATAAAGTATAACTAACTATAAGACAGTGTTATGTACGATAAGATCAAGAATGACCCCAAAGCTCTTACGCACGCAGAGGCAGGGCTTTTGGCAGGTGACTGGATCATGGGGTCCTATGGCTAGCTTCTGATAGGAGGTGGGGTCTGCTTGGAGGTGGTGCATGACCTGGAGGGACGCATCTTCCTCCACAACTCCTTTCTCACTCTGCTTTCCGCTGCCATGGTGTCAACAGCTTTTGCCCTGCCCAGGTCCTTCCGCCATGTTGTTTCCGCCTGAGAGTCAGCTGACCGTGGACGGTACCTGTGAGCCAAGATGAACCTGCCCTCCTTTAAGGTACAGGTGTCGGACATCGCATCTCAGTGAGTGACAGGAAGTGGCTAAAATGGACAGGCTGAGCCACACAAGTGCTATGGAGATGGTCTGCCGCAAAGATACTGACAATGTAAGTTTCGTGTATTTAAAAAGCAAAACAAAAAAGGCAAAATTTTTATTGCACTTAACTATCCAATGCACAAATTAGTAAACAGTCATCATATGCAAATCCATTACCAGATTGTAGATACAAAGTCATTTACATACAATAAATATTACTCTTTCAAGAAAAATTTTAAATAAAACAGAAACATCAATATTACCAGAACTGTATTTAGACAATACAAAAATTACAGAAAATAGTAATAACCTGCAGATTAAGATTATTTCTATTACATTTTAAATGCAATTATCTCCATTTATGCAGACTACACAAAAGAAAATGTTAAAAATTAAATTTCAGAGTACATTCTCACTCTCTTTAACAGTGTTACTCTCATTTCAAATACGTAACTTTCAGTTTTCCAGGAGAATTATTTTTAATACTGGCAGTCTTCCTGTTCAGAACACAAAATATAAATCTTTTCTTCTGTCAGCTCAAAATTTAAAACTCCACATTACGCTCTTTGTTCAGTGTTTTCTTTTCCTCTTGGGTGCAGTGAACTCTAAATTAGACAAAGTTAAGAAATTTGTCAGTGCTGAAAAATATTGATATATAATACCTGATAATATACATTGAAGCATACAATCGCTTCTCGGCCTTTTGGCTAAGATCAAGTGTAACACGTTAAAATATACAGACATTCAACCTGGTAAACACAAGACAGTCCTCTGAATGAAAATCCAAGAGTCATAACCCTGACATGCAAATAAGTTTTTTTTCCTACAAAATGATACTGCAGTTTAAAACTATCTCCATTGAGACGGTAAGAGCTAACATACTGAGGTAACAATCTATTGCTGTAGCAGCTCTTAGTCACCCTAAACCCTACTAATAATTAGTTAGGATATTCTGAGGTTGTTTCACAGGGGCGCCCTCCCTGGGATTGGCATGGGCCCAATGTCCCAGATCTGAAAGCTCTCTAGGCCAGCGCTGAGAAAGACCGTGATTAAGATTACAATTTCACTTGGAGGGAACCCGAGATGTAGTCCCCCACATCACCCCTGTCCATCTTTCTGTTCCACACAGATACCGCAACCACTCAAGTGTCCATCTTTAACACAAGACACAAAAACATGAAAATCAGAACAGATATGATGACACAAAGGGGATGCTAAGCAGAGAAAAACAAAAGAAAAGATTCCTAGAAGAGAGAGACAGCCAGGACGAAGAGTGAAGCAGGCCGGGAGGACAGCAGGTTGTGTCTGTAAGACTTCTTTAAAAAGATGAAAGGGACAGAGTACCTAGCAGGTGTCCGGTCACTTATCACATTATTGTTAGCACTGTATTTAGTGGCATAATCTTAAAATTCAGCAATGAGCCAACGAAAATAGGTCAGACAAACACACGGCCAAATGCAATGCTTCTCCGGGGTTTAAACCTTAGTGCTCTAAGAGTAACCATCTCCCTCCCTAGCCTGAGGAAATTTCACCTGTACCTGTTTCTTTAAAACTGTCATTTTCTTCTTCCTCCTCTGTAATTACAGGCATACTCAAACTTAAAGATTTTTCTTCTTTGCGTCCATTCCGCACGTTACCTGGAAATATTTTTAAATGATTTTATATGAAATAAAAATATAAACCATTAAAAACTTTACATGTCATTCTAACAACATAAAAATTGTTTAAAAACTGAAATAATGGAAATAGAAATATGCATTGTAGGGTACCTATTTTTAGGTACTAACATATCTGTGCCTATGGTTTGAGTAGTCTCAAGTTTGTCACAAAGAAAAATGGTGAAAAAGAGAAACAAAATTAGCCAAACACGGATCCTTTATTCTGTATTTATCACACACAACATGGGAATAATCGGACATCAGGGAATAATCATGTGTATTATTTCAACTTTAGCAAATTAACCACAAATGTAATTTTCAAGTTGATTCCACATTTAAGGCTTGGTCACAATGCAAACCTCAACATATTTTCCCAGCATCAGTAATGGTTAACTCAACACATTCCTTATACTCCACAAGCAAAATGAACCTCTCTCCAGGTGTGGTGACACACTTCTGTCATCCCAGCACTTGGAAGGCTGAGGCAGCAGGATTGCCACGAATTTCAAGGCCAGTCGGGGCTACACAGTGAGTTCACAGTGAGGACAGCCTGAACCACGTAACAAGACCCCGTCTCAAAAACAAGAACAAACAAACACACAGAAACATGGCCCTCTCACTCTATACTTCCCAGAGACCTTGTCCTTTTTCATGACTGTCCCTCTGCTGTCTTCATCTATGGAATTCTCTAGCTTTTTATCTTGGCAATGTGTACAACTTGCTGTATATTAGAGTTGTTAACAATCTGCCATTTTAAATAACCCTGCAATGAATCTGTTCATGTGTTCTGTCATTTGGATGGAATAAACTCCTGGAAAGTGAATTGTTAACGAGCATACAGACTCAAATTGTATTTATTTATTTATTTACTTGTTTGTTTATTTTTGGGTTTTTGAGATACAGTCTATGTAGTCCAGGCTGGCTTTGAACTTGCAGCGATCCCCCTGCTCAGCCTCCCAGTGTCGGGATCACAAGCGTGCACCACCATGCCCAGCTCAGACTTAAATTTCTGACAGATAATTTCAAATTCCTCTCAGAAGAGGATGTGCCAATTTACTATTCCACTTAAATTTGGAGATGTTAACCTCTTCACACACTTTCAATATCAATGACGACTTACCCCTAATCTTTTCTGATCTAGCAGGTGTAAAATCATGTTTTAATTTGTAGACTTTATTAACAAAATTATATTTTTCATATATGTATGGATTTTTTTGCATTCATTTTTCTACTGGGTTGTGGCCTTTTTCTTATAAATCTGTAATCTGTTCTAAAAGTAGAGTTTTTTACAATGTCATACGTGCTGCAAATGGTTTTGCAAGATCTTTTGCTTTTTGTGGAATATAAGACTCTTCTTTTTGAACAAACCATGAAGTAAAAACTAGTCTTTCGCCTTTACAGAAAGGAACTTTTGACTAAAAAACTATGAAGTATGGTGATACTTTGGTTCATGAACTTAATTTGTTCCCATGATTTTGGAAAAGATGGCACATTCATGCTTGTGTGGGAAAGGTGGCTGTGGTCACGTCTGTCACTCGATGTAGAGTTTAAAAACAGGAACAAAATTCTGCCAAACACTTCTGTTTGCAAACAAAAGCATTTTGAACCACTGTACTTGGATCTTTAGGTAATTACTGCTTTACTTCAGTTTTTATATTTGATGAGTAATTAGACTGGTTAGTGAAGCAGTTAAAACTATGATCAAAGATCTGAATTCAGATCATATTTAATTATACTTTTCTCTTTCTCATGGGTTAAATTCTGACTCCCTAGGTAAGTTTAGTAACACTTGTGCAACGGAGCCTGTTCTTCATTTGAGTTTATAAAACAAAATTTTCAGTAACTATATTACATAATAAAATATGGCAGTAAAGCAAGTGATATTTTATACTTGTCAAACATTCAAGATGGAAGAAACTTTCATGTAATTACTTTCCTTTCCTTATCTCACACTTGTTCCTCAACCACAGAAAAACACCTGCTGTGTCAGGTGTTTGAAAAATAATTTTACCTTCCTGCTCTGCTTGTAATAAGTCTGATTATTAATAAAAACTGCTTGTGTAGGTTTCTACAAGGGGTGGTCAAAAAATACATTGAATGCTTAATTATTACTTTTTTAATTAATACAGTAAAAGATACATTACCTCAAAATACTTCCCCTTTGCTCCAAACATACTTAACCCATCATTCCGGCCACTTTCTGAAGCAGCACTGGAAGTCTGCTCTTGTTTTAAGGAGTTTATGATCAAAAAAATGGAGAATGCTGCTGCCCCGCTATCCAACAGGAAGGTGGGCCTGCAGAAACGTTAGCGGTGTACCTTGGTCCACGCTTTCACAGGATCCTCTCCTTTCCTGAGGTCAAAATGACCATGAAAGGTAAACACGCTCAATCAATTCAGGACATCAAGGCAGCTGCAGCAGTGCAACTAAAAACACAAAACAAGACCTCCAGAACTGATCCAGAAAGTGAAAAGAACGTTAAGGATAAGCGTGCTTGAATTGAAGAGGATTTTTTGAGGGGGATTAATGGCAATGTATCTTTAGCTGTAATATTTGGGTTTTTTCTGGTACTGGGGATCAAATTCAGGACCTTGTGCTTTCAAGGCAGGCGTGGTGCCACTGAGCTAAATCCTGGGCCCAAGCTGTGATAATTTTTATTTAAACATACGGTATTTTTTATTGACAGCTTATAAATTTCACTAGCCTTAGAAAAACTACTTCAACCTACCAGAAGTTCATTTTTTAAATACAATGAATTAAAAAATCTTTCCCTCATCTCTGACTTTGTTTGCACTATTGGTCAGGTTTATCAAAGTATTAGCATATAGTAAAATTCGCCACTTTAAATACATTACCTCTAGGAGCTTGCACAAAGCACAGCTGTATAATCACGAGTGCAATCAAAACAGAACATTTCCATCTCCCCCACAATTTCTCTCGTGCCCTTCTGCAACCAACACTTCCCCCTAGTCTCTGGCAGCCACTGTTCTATCTCCTGTCCTTTCAAGTCTCCCTTTTCCAGAGGATCACGTAAACAGAGCTGCCACAGGTAGGTTTTTTGTTTTTTGGTATGGCTTAGCTCTCACTTCGCAAATAGCTGTGAGACCCATCTACGTTGTTCCATGTATCGGAGGATCCTGTATTGCCGGCGACATCTCATTTATGGCCACATTGCAGTTTATCCAATCACCAGCTGAAAGACAGGCAGCTCTTACAGCTACAAATAAAATCGCTATAAACTCTGCGTAACAATTTTTGTACGAACGTTAAGTATTCATTCCCATCGGGTAAATAAAAAGAACAGGACTTCTGGGTCATACAGCAAATCCAGGTTTATCTTTATTTAATACTACCAGTTTCCAAAGTGACTACACCATTCTGGATTCCCACTAGAAACTTATGAAGGTTCCATTTATTCAGAATCCTCACTGGCTATTGTTATTGCAGCTTTTGGTTTTATGCGTTTGTTTCTGTTTTGTTCTGGTTTTGGTTTTTTGAGACAGGGTCTCACTATGCTGACCTGAAATTCACTATGTAGCCTGGGTTGGTCTCAAACTCAGTGATCCTCCTGCCTCAGCCTCCCGAGTGCTGGGATTACAGGCGTGCGTCACCACGCCCGGCTTGTATGCTTTTGTTTCCACAGCCATTCGGGGTTAATGGAACGCTACTGCACTTTCAGTTCACATTTCTCCATAACCGAAGATGCTGAGCATCTCTCTGTACACTTATACACCATCCACATTTTCTCTGGTGAAATGTTTTATCTACTTTTCAGTCAGGTGGGTTGTTTTCCATTATTGAACTTTTAAGAATTCTCTGTGCATTCTGAATACAAAATCTTCATCAGAGCTCCGTTCTGCAAACACGGTATTTTCCCACAGCTAATATCTTTTTTTTTTTTTTTTTAATTTTCTTAACAGTGTCTTCCAAAGGCAAGGATTTTAGTTTTGAGGAAGTCCAATTTGTCAACATTTTATTTTATGGTTTATGGGGCCTACATCATCATCAAAAAACTTTGCCTAATCTGAGAACCCATGTTTCCCTTACGTTTTCTTTCACAAGTTTTATAATTTTACCTTCTAACATTTAGAACTACGAGAGATGAGATGGGGTCAAGGATTTTTTTGGACGAGTGTGAAATTGCATCAGCACCATCTACTGAAGACGATCTTTGCTCCCCTGAATCACCTTTGCACCGCGGTTGAAAATAAATTTGACCAAACATGTATGGAACCATTTCTACACTCTTCTCTGCCCCACTGATTTCCCTGTCCGTCTCACAGAAGGTACGGTGCCTAGATTTCTGATGACCTTCACTTACTTTTCAAAACTGTTTTGGCTAATCTAGTTTCTTCTCCATACAAACTTTAAAAGCTTGTTAGTTAATACAGAATAACTACATTGGAACTTTTCATTGAAATTTCACAGACGCTACATAAGGATTTGGGATCAGGAGACATCTTAATATTGGTTCCTCTAATACATAAAGAACATACCTGTCTATTTATTTAGGTCTTACTGATTTTTCATCAGCTTGGAGTCTCCAGCATACACATTTTCGCATATACCAATGTAATTTATATTTCCAGTACTACTGTACTATGTACCATTGTACTATTATTGTACTATGTAAAAAACTTCTGATTTCTAATTAATTACTGATTTTAATATAAAAATGATTAACACTGTACCTTGTGTCTGACCTTGCTAAATTCAATTATTTGGGGCTGGGAGTGCAGCTTCATGGTAGAACACTCAAGTAGTTCTGATATCTATTTTTGGGGGATTTTCTATGGAAAAGTTAATTTTATATGAAAACAGGCCCAGTATGCTTGCTTTCTTTCCAGTCTGAATGCCCATTATTTCATTTTCTTGCCTTACTACACTGGCTAGGACTTCAGTGTGTATCCTTGCTTTATTCTAGATTTGAGGAAGAAAGCATGGTTTTACCATTGCGTATGATGTTAGCTATAGCTTTT